ATCACTTGAGCGCAAACGTTTGCTAACCTGCTCATGGGGGGTTTGTTCCTCCACCTGGGACAGATTCTGCGTACGCCGCTCAAGAAATTGGTGCAAGGCGGTTTCATTAGGTACCCCGCTCTTGAGGAGACGACTCAGTCGTAATGTAATTAGATTTTGCCTATCTGAGATGCATTATTGTGTTGACTCCTTTTAATAAAAACGGTTAGAAGAGTAGGTGGCACCGTTTCAACCCTTGAATGACAGGAATGAATGTATTACGCGTGGGATTTATTTTTTCGTTATTGTCCTTTCACAAAATAAAACTTAGTTTGCGAGAAAGACATTCCAAACATAAAATTTACTTACGCTTATCTTATGAATTGTTCGAAATGTCGTTCATTTGCTGTGAACATTAATAAAGTCTATTTTCAAACTCCCCTCTAACATTACGGAAAACTTTACTAGGAATTGACTGGCATGCTGCTGTAATTCGTCTCTCAAGTTTTTCAATATCAGAAGGTTGTGTTTTATAAACAACGGATTTGAGATGTTTCCAAAGAAAGAAATCTGAAGGTGTTAAATCCGGTGATCTCGGAGGGTATTCAACTATCCCCTTCTGTAAATCTATCATCTGAAAATCTCTCGGTTAACCACGGTCGGAAGGAAAAAAAAATAATGAGGTGGAGCATCGTCTTGCTGGAAATGTAACAGATCCTTCTGCATCCATTTGAGTTTTTAGCTCGTGAGTTATAAGAGGATCGATAGTCTTTTCAAACATTTCAACGTACAGATTGCCTGTCAAGTTTTCTTCCAGAAATAATGAACCAATAATGGCATTTCCAGGAATACCAGCCCAAACATTTTGTGGAAGTTGTGTATGCCCTTTCCAAAAAATATCTGGGTTTTCATCACTCCGATAGCGACAAAACTCTATTCTTCTATCATAATCATCCTCGTGGAGTTCTTGAAGAATCTGCATTTTATAAGGATGAAATTTATGCATTTTCAATGGTTTATTTACAGTGTCGCGTAACATTCCCATCTGTTCTAATGCTGATTGTAAGAAGCTTATGGACTGTACAGCAAATGCTCCCAAAACTTTAATTTGATCTACTTCATTTAGTACTTTGGGGTTATTTCTTTTTTTATTTTCCACTGAACCAGTTTCGTAAAACTTATTCACCAAATCGAGTACATACCAGTGACTTACATTACAATTTGGATGTCTTTCGTTAAAAAAATATGCCGCCCTTCGTGCGCACTTCCAATTTCTCCATAAAATATAATCATTTCAATTCTGCTTTGAAGAATGTTAACCATTTTATCATTTTTATACACTTATTATAGTAATTACTAAACAGCTCAACAGGTACAACTGTATGCACAATACCACATCGTTCAAATTTGCGAACCAATTTTTTGCCTGAAAACAAAAACTTTCTACAGCAGAAGTAGCAAAAAAGGACGGCTATCTGTACACTTTCTGCGAGGGGAATTGAAAATTCGGCATTTACTAAACACAATTTCACTACCATCTATGTTTTACTATTAGACTACTTTTTGAAGTAAATTAATTGGAGCTAATGGCTCATGTTACCCCTGATAAAGGGTTGGAACGGTACCACCTAATATTCTTACCAGTTCTGGTCAAACTATGCATCTCACTCTAGGCGTTCTGTTAAATGATAAGTCAGGGTACCATTGGAAGCAGAATTGAACACCAATCAAAATGATGTGCCACTTGATACCCCTTCCCATTTAAAATTTCAAGGGTAACATCTTCCCCTCTTAGTGGGTTGAACCATAAGGGTTACAAATAGTCCTTGACAATAAAATTTACCTGTCTTTTCGATTCCTCATATTGCTTTTTCTCATCCATGTAACTCTATCATTAAGTAAAGACGGTGTTAAATTACCTTTGGAATGGTGTCGTCACTGCTTCCTCCGGAGGACCCTTGACTTTCTAGACCACTGCCTCCCGAATATGAGGATCCACCATCTGAGTTTATTTCTCCTGTCGAGCTACTTCCACTGTCCGAAGATGAACTTCCACCTAAGTTTATTCCACCATTAAAACCTCCTCCAAAGGAGATTCCATCGTCACTTCCCAATTGAATACTTCCTGAACTACCAGCACCAGGAGATGAAAATCCGACATCTGAATTTTCTCCGTCGTCTGAATGTCCGATTTCTGAATTTTCTCCATCGTTTGAATCTCCTCCAATCGAGATATCATCACTTCCTTCGGGAGTATCACTTCCTGAGGAGGAACTTCCNAATATAAGTACAAATTATATGAATGGATGATAATCGAAAAGTAATTTAATACTTGTTTCTCGGTTTGTTCATTGCTAAATATAATTATATTCTACCTCAAATGCTACTTCATATAAATCTCATATTTTCATGCTACCTTTTTTGGATTCTCTAAACTGTGACCTCTGAACTCTTTCACTTCATCTTTTACTTCCTGAATTTCACTGTGAGCTTTCTGGAATTCACCGTAGACTTTTTGAATTTCCTTCTAAGCTGAGTTGATTTTGGATTGTGTAATTGAATAGTAGATGTACTTTTATAGTTGTTTATATTTCTCCTACACTCATTGAAGTTATGTTCTTACCTTCGTTTCAATCTTTGTTCTTGTTACTCCAACATTCAGTAGGCTCAATTTTTTTTGTTTCATCGACAACAAATTTGTTTCTGGGTTCGAAAATAAATGACACACTATTACCCGAGAATTTACCCAGACGATACACTGACATCCTTTGGATGTCCAATTTATGCTCAAAGGATATTTCAAGGTCGTCCAAAGTGTACCTACCGACTTAGACATTCTTAAGGTATCGTATATTTTGGAGAGTTTATGGATGTCCATAGAGTATCTACCAAAAATATTCATTCCAAGTCCACTGGGGGATATCTTATGGACGACCATTTCATGTCCAAGAATATTCTGACGTGAATTGAATATTCACAGGATATTCTGTATTGTCTGTCTATATGATTATGTTAGAAACACTCAATACAGCTGAATGATCAATATTACTGTACTGTCAGTATAATTTCTAGAAATTTCAATAAAAATAATGACCCGCAAAAATGGAACAAATGTTGAATGTCTAAAATTCTGCATGCAAGCGAACAGTATTGAAAAAGCTACAAAGAAATGGACTGCATTCTTGCACTACCATCATCAACTGATATTGATGAAATTGCATTCAAATATCTCATAAAAAACAACGCACATATCACACTGAAAAAATCAGAAATGGAGGATTGCTCCCGATTTCACAGAACAAAAGCACCTGATGAGAAATTCGTCGTAAACATTAGCAAACTGATTGGCATAAAACTGTATATTTCAAAGATGCATTTCTCACTGATATGCTTTGGGATAGACGTAGATAATTACCAGTTGAATATAATATTACCTAACCTAGGACAGGACAGTCCTTCAAAATCTGTTTCACGAACCAAGTTAAATATAGTAATTCCAAAGATCAATGAGGAACAGTAAGAAGAAAACTTTCTTATTTCTGGTGTAACAATGAACAATGCTCAACCATAGTAAGTTTACGAATTCTGATTACATTTTTTGTCACAAGAAGAGACATATCGAAAATACGTGTTCGAAAATAAAAATCCTTTAGAACTGAAAAAAATATCAAATCTTCAGTGCATTTCTTTAATGTCCCCCCCTTTCATTTTTTGAACAGGTCAACTCAAAAAACTGAAATTTGGGATAATGAAATTAATGCTTAAATACTTTATTTTGAGGTGAAATTGACAGATGAAACTTTCAAGATGGCGACTGGGAGCCAAGTGAGAAAAAAATTAATAGAAAAGGGGGTCTGGTAAACTTCAAACTATTGCTGAGTAAACTAAAATACATTGGGTTTGAATGCAGTTCTTTAGATTGGGTGAGAAGCTATCTCACAGGAAGGGCTCAACGGGTTATACTGGATAATGGTCAATTATGCTCATCTCTTCAGGAAACTTCTTCTGGTGTACCACAAGGTAGCATTCTAGGTCCATTATTGTTCTCTCTTTTCATTTTTGACTTTTCTGCCACGTTATCCCAGTGCGACGTACATTTATATGCTGATGANCCTACATTCCTATACTAGTGGTTGTGGAGTATTCGCCAGGAGCTTCAAAATGATGTGTCACAAGACCCCCCTTTCCGTTTAATTTTTTCCCAGATGGCGCCCAGTCGCTATCTTGAAAGTTTCTTCTGTCAATTTCACTTCAAAATAAAGTGTTTATGCAATAATTTCATTATCCCAAATTTAAATTTTTTGAGTTGACCTATTCAAAAAATAAAAGGGGGGACATTAAAGAAATGCACTGTATATCACTGATGACGAAAACCGACAAATGTCAAATAAAGACAGTCGACAAATGCCACATAAAAGCCAAGCAAATGAATCTGGAGATAGTGACGCAGCATATTAGACTGTGAGATTCGATCAATTCGAAGATATTTTTTCCAAGAATAAACCAATATTAAAAAAAATGTTATACTTCGAAACTACATCAACGAAATGAAATTGAAAAGTTAGGGATGTACGGCAAAAGAATTTGACTTGTATGGTAGATATGTAGTGGTTTTGTAAAGGTTTCACCAAGATGGTATTTGCCTGGATTTTCATAGAAAAAAACAATTTCTTCGATTTTCAATCAGGTCCGATGGAATATGAACAGAGAGAAGCTCCAACGTCTACTTGCAGACGATAATTAGGTACCTACAAGCACTTTGGGAATGCTGAAATTTTGTTTTTTATTCTTATAAAATAAGCTTTGGTTAGGGGAGCCTCTTCATCAGCAGAAAGACTAGGAAAGTGCATTATCGAAATCAAAGCGTTTTTTGTTATCCAACATTATCTTAATAGACTACGATTCGAAAAACCTACCACCATTTTAATATCGAACGATGTGAAAAGCAGCTAAATAGAATAGCTCTTGTCATAATAAAAACTGTTGAAAAATTCCTTGAATAGGTATATTGATGACCGTTTTTGAGGATATGACTTGCTTTGTGTTAAACTCAAATATTTATACCAACTGAATGTGAAGTCGTGAGTTTTAAATCGTAAAAAACTCACAATACGTACTTAAAATATTACTTTGAAAATTAATGATCAAATCATTACTTACAACTTAAGACCGCTGCATGAAATCACCTTGACCGTAATTTCCGTAATGCTCACATTGTGGCCAGAATTGAAAATGTTTGTGTAAATACGAAAATATTAGGCAAGGTAAGAAACTGGATACGTCTTTTTTTTCACCAAATCGAAATTATGTTTAGAATGCAATCACTTCAAGAAAACTCACCGTTCAAGAAACAAAAATTTATTAATTTTCAGTTTGAAAACTGAAATTTGAGAAAGTGAGAAAATAAATGAGCTACTTCAATTTGGAATTGAAAATCTATAAAGCGTCTATAGATAATGAATGGGAATATTTAAAGTCAATTTCAGATACTGGGCATCTGACCGTTTAATGAAAGTACGCAAACATTACATCTGATCATCACCTTCAAGGCTACCTTCTTCGTGGTTTCCAAAATGTAGTCCATCTCCAGAATGTACTCCACCACTTGAGTGTACTCCTCCACTTGAGTATACCCCACCAGAGTTTGACACCTCACTACCAGAATATTCACCTAAACCAACAAACAGTTTTTTGATTTAGAATGTGACGACAGGAAAATTAATTGCATATTTTTCATATTACAAAAATAAACACTAGAATATGTCTTTTGGTTGGTTTCCGCCTATCGCCGTAGTATTCTTTGGTTATAATCTCCAAACGTTTCAACTGCAACTGCGCCAGTCATCTTCAGTAGCGTGGTGGAAGTACTCTTCTTGACGTGTCAACTGAAATAAACTCTCATTTCTGCCGTGTCATTTGTAGTGCTGATTTTTTGCGCACTTTCTGTAATGGCGGGTTCGCGCGTACTTCCCGCGCGATTTGGGCGACTTGGCTTCGTTTTGGTGCTTTCCAATGCTGTACGCCAGATCTTTGGTAGATATGTTCAAAGGAAAAGAAGAGAAACACCGGTGAAGATCAACTCCAAGGCACTGTCTATCTGCCATACATAGAAGTTGTCACCAACCGAAACTCTGAAGAAGGAGAAAATTAACACCGTTTTCAAACCAATTAAGAAAATATCGAAGTATCTGAGATCAGCAATAGACAGCAGAGATCCACTCGAATCCACTAAAAGTCTATATTGGTCGCATTTACGGGCACAAGCGGAGTTGGTGATTGGGACATACCGAGAATTTTGAAGTCGCTGAATATGCACTATCCGACGGGGGACACAAGATTCTGTTCGAAAATACCCAGAGGCTAGCAACGTCGAATCATTATTCAACAAGAATGTATTTAGAAGCCATAGAAATACACAAGCACCAAGAGAAGTTCAACAGAAAGGAAAAGAGAACATATCTAACAATGATCTGATATACAACATTGAAAAGCGCCAAAAACGAAGCCAAGTTACCCAAATCGCGCAGGAAGTGCGCGCGAACCCGCCATTACAGAAATTGCGCGAGAAATCAGAACCATAGTAAAAATCAACCAGTAAGTCCACTCCACTACTTTCATTCATAAATTCACAAAGTTCCCGGTGACCTCGAAACGAAGTGCTGAGCCAATTACGTTATATTACTATAGGCGTGCGCTCATATAAAAACGAAATTTAAGGTTATAATAGAATATTTTGTGGTAAATTACTTATAACCAACTACAAAAATTAAAAACAATAATAAAAACAGCGAATAAAACAAAATCAGTGTCAATTTCCGACCGTTTATTATAACTAATCCGATGTCTGTGGTACCGTCAAATCCTTGCATACTACAGCATTGAACGCGTTGGATGAGAATTTCGTCCTAATAGCGGTTGAAAGTCCCCCGAAAACTCGGATGAATCACGTGGTAAGAGAGCCTACTGGTTGTATTATTCTACTGTGTCAGAACTATGAATGACTCGGCAGAAATGAGACCTTCAATTTCAGTTGACACGTCAAGAAGAGTACTTCGACCACACCACTGAAGGTGACTGCCGCAGTTGCAGTTGAAACGTTTGGAGATTATTACCAAAGACGACAACACCAAAACCCAAAACGTTGACGTCATCCGTGAAAGCCTACATTCCTATACTAGAATATGTGTTTTAAAACGAAAACACTTTCTCAGATAATCGTATATTATTCTCTCAGATAAGTAACATTCAATACAATAAATCAAAAAAAGTTACCATAAGTACAAAATACAATACAAAACTTCGAAAATTGTCGCATTGGCATGTTCGGGTATATTTTCTATTTTAATGTATACATATTCTACTTCAACTTCAGACAAATCTAATATTTTTTGCTTGCCTCCTTGGACTTTCTGAACTATGACCTCTGTTATACCTCTGACCTCTTTCACTTCCTCAATTTCACCTCGAGTCTTCTCGAACTCACTCACTTTATGAGTTTTTTTTGTAACAACTGATTTGACATTGGATTGTGTATACCTACGTACTTGTTTTTGTTTATGTCTACTTCAAGCTATGTCTTTGTTTTGCTTCTCGTTCTTGTTGCTCTGGTATTTAGCAGGATTTAGTTTTCTTCTTCGTCAACATCAAATATGTTTTTGGGTACAAAAACAAGCGGCACTCTGTTACTCAGACAATACATAGATATCCGATGAATATACATTGGATATCCGAAAAATACCTGAGGTATCGTACATTTTGCAAATCCAATAGATGTCTATAGAATATCGACCAAAGGATATACTTTCCACTGAGGGATATCTTATGGCCATCCATTTCAAATCCAAGGATATTCTGAGATGGATTGCATATCCATAGAATGTCCGGTGTTTTCTGAGTAACTGATCGTTACTGAACAGCCTCAACATCTCGTCGAACGAAAGTATGAAGTCTACCTCGGTTATAGTTGAAATGTGTCGTATGAAGCAGTTTGATTACATACCTTCCTGCGTTAGGACGAAAGAAAGGAGAGTGGATAAAAATGCCTAGAATAACCAAGAAGTAATAATCAACACTGACACCCCATTCGGTCCAACATGATTAATAAAAGGTTGCATAACATGCGGACTGACTGGATTGAGGGTAGATATGATTAAATGTTTTAACTAATTGAGTTTTTTAAATATTACACTGAAGATAAAAACCTGTTGTTGACTCTGCTTTAAGCAGTGATTCAAATAATGAATAGAACGTAATGGAATCGAAAAATAAAGGAAATCTAACTAGAAGGATCGACTTCACCAATAAGGGACATCTTCAGGGGTCAACTAAAGTCGTGCATTCATCGTACTAAGAATATCCACCCTTTCCTCACCCCGCCACCTAACTTTGAGAAAGTAAAGGTCAGGAAAGTTATCAAGGTACTCGTCTCCAAGAACAGTTTAGAGGTGCTGGCTTTGTCGAAAATTACCGAGAAGGTCGAAGCATGGAAGCAAATAATGCTCTGCAAACTTCACGTTATCCTCATGTTGCATTTCAAGCCTCGACGGTGGCACGAAGATTATCAAAGCTTTGGAGTTTGGATTCAACTTGAAATTTGATTCGACGTTAGTATCATCGGAAAACAGTCTCTAACAGAGAAGCAGTACAAGATATTCGCCGTCGTTTACCACGACCGATGCCTTCCACGTCTGCCATAACTGCTGGCTAAGGTTCGACGATTCTTCGGTCAGGGCCGTGCAGAAAGAATACATAATGAAGCCCTGGGGAACGCGAGTTCCTCCTTTGCTGTTCTATAGGCGAAGCGATACGATCCGATCTAAATAACGCCCCCTATAGGGATGAGGTTTCTGAGTTTACGTAGAGTTCAGCGTCTGGAATCGTACGGAATGTCTTTATTGAGTTTTATCAAATTATATTTTTTTGGTTTTGATAGATTTCTTATTCCTTCGTTCTGTTTTAATGTGAAAAATGTACTTTGTATAATGTTTTGATTTTGTAATTATAATCTCAGAAAAAATGTACTTACCTGACCAACCAGATTCACCTTCAGAAGAATGTTTTTGTTGTCCATCAGTTCCTTTGAAATGCCAGTGGCTAGAAATTAAACTTTCCAGACCCCCCAACGCTGTGTTGAATCCTGTGAAAATATTCCCATATAATTTACATTACTTATGAGATAAACAACTAAAACACTTGATGGTCATAAACTAAAAAAATATGGCATTGGCACCAATCTGTTTTGTATCGATATCCAACGTACCGAAAAAAAAGTTTGTGAAAACAAACAAGTTCATTTCATTTGTAACAGTGAAACGTTCCAACTGTAAGTATCGTATTTCTCTTTATACTCATCACTCACCTCCGATTGTCTATTTTCAAAAATGTTTCTATCAAAAATCAAAATTAACTCAACCTAACCTCCGAAAATAACGTAACATACAAAAGGAGTACTTTCAATTTCTCTCATTGGTGGCAACGATAGCTTATTAAGAGAGAGAAGTTTGATCAAAATATTCCAATTCCAATGGGAAGGTCTTGTTCACCAAAATATTTTGAAAATTCATATGCGTGTTTTCGGATTATAAAGGTTCTGTTTGGATAATCTTTTTCTGGCACTAGTATTGCTGCCTTTTCTTTCAACTTACAACTTGGATGGTGATAAAATTCGAATGTGGATTGAACTTTCTTGAAGTATGTCGTATAATCATCAGTTATTTGAAGTTATTTAGTTCATGTTCATAAAATAGAAAACGATGTGTTACTGCTAACCAAATAAACTCTATTCTACCTATAAAACATGGTGCCCCGCAGGGATCAGTGCTTGGGCCATTATTATTAGTCATTTATATAAATGACCTATGAAACTTTTCATCACCCAATAAAAGCGTTCTATTCGCCGACGACACTACTTTAATGAGTATTGGAAAAAACCATATGGAACTCACTTCTTCTTCTCATAACACTGAAAAACGTGCTGAAAACTGGTTCACTGCAAAAAAACTGAAGTTGAACCCAAGCAAATCCCAAAAAATAATATGAACTCACAAATGAGAAACACTGTCAAGTTACTCGGAATTGTTATTGATGACAAAGTCACATCGTCGAATCACATAGAACAGCTCTCTAACAAATTAGCGAGTGCTCTGTTTCTCTTGAGACAGTTAAAAAAAACAATTCAACCTGATACTCTGAGAATGACATATTTCTCTCTGTTTCATTCGCAGATAAACTATGGAATAATCGTATGGGGAAATGCCACTCGTGCAATAACCATCTGTCGACAACAAAAAAATGCAGTAAGAATTGAATATAGAAAGCATTGTCACCCACTCTTTACAGAGTTTGGCTTCATGTCTTCACCTTCTTCATATATCTACAATTCCTTATTTCAAATACACAGAAATTTCAACCAGTTACAAACCCAGTCAGATATACATGAGCATAATACTAGGTATGCTAAGGTATTAAAAACTACATGGTATAAATTAACCAAATCTCAAAAAAATTATCTGAATTTCAATGTATATAACTGCTTGCCAAAGAGAATCAAATCATTATCTTTCGATCATTTCAAAGAACGCACAAAAATATATTCTTGAACACTGCTTTTACTCCAAAGACGAGTGTCTCGTCTCAACAAAGCAATTGAGTCATGCACTCAACACATCGCTTCTTTGAAATGTTCCGTTCCCTTTATGTTGTTTATGCCTCACTTGATTATGTATGTTATATTAGAAAAATCAATGCACCCTTTGTCTATGGATTGCACCGTAATAACAGAGTATTGCATCAGCCACTACGCAGTTACAAAGGAATGCCTCAGCATATTCAGCACATTTCCAAGGTCCGGCTTCCCGACCCAAGGGAGAGTTCAGAAAGTGAATCGAGCGGTTAAACAAGGAATTCAAATAGTAGAAATAAATTAAGCGTTAGTTGCTAAGTGTTATATATAAATTAGTTGTGATAGTGAAATATTATTGGAAATAAATTTGTTTAAGACAGTTAATTCTTTAAATTGTTAAAATTGGTGATCAGAAGTGGATTTGTAAAATAAATCTGTGAGCACTTGGTGGACAATCTTTGTATTGCGGTAAAATTGACTATAAGACTTATTGGTTCGCGCAGAGAGACTGGTGATTCGTTGTGTTTCGCGAAGTGGGCAGTACCGGACTACGGAAACATAAACTGCTATACCTTTCTCGAGAAAAAATAGACTTGTGAAAGTAAATAAGTGTTTAGGATTCGAATCAAATAAGTGAACATATTCAGTTTTGAGGATAATAAGAGACAAAATGTGTTCGAGGAAAGTGCGCCTAACGGACGGAACGGAGTCGTGGAATTGAAGCAAATATTGGAGGAGAGGGAGCTAGATTGATCTGAAAAGAAATCAGTACTCCAGAAGAGACTGTGGGATAACTTGACTGAATCAGGAGAAGATCCCGAAACATATTTATTCGAAGTTTCTGGGGGTGATTTGAGTTGAATAATGAGCAAACTCGATGAGAATACCAAATGCCTGAAAGATGAACTTCAACAAAATTCGGTAAGTCTGGAGGAGAAGCTTCTGGAAAATTCGAAGAGTTTGGAAGACAAGCTTCACGAAAATTTGGTGAGTTTAAAAGATGAACTTCAACAAAATTTGAAGTGCCAAGATGAAGGAAACAATTAGCAAGTTGCAATACCAAATCGTTAATTCTGCCCTCACCACAGAAACTGTTACCAAAAATTCCGAAACTGAGTTTTAACATGGAAAAACTTCAAAAGGCAATGAAAGATGTCAAAGTCAGTTCTGAAATAGGAAAGCTCTCCATGAAGCCGCCCAAGTTCGACGGAAAAACTCCTTGGGCAAATTACCGCCGACAATTCAAAGCTGCGGCCAGAGCGAATGGATGGAATGCAGGAGAAAAGGCGGTAGCATCAACATTGGCGTTGCGCAGAGAAGCAACGGATATTTTGCAATCCCTCATGGCCCAAGAACAGGAAGACTATGACCAACTTATAAAGCATCTTGAGCTACGGTATGGGGAGGCCCACCCAGAGCACGTTTACCATTCACAGCTGAAGAACCGCTGCTTCCTTGCGATTTTAAATTTGGGACGCCGCCAGAATAAGACACTGCGGGGGAAGACTATGTCATCAAACTTTGGCAGAGAATGGACGACATCCATAAACGAGTCCGTCTGAACATCCGATAGAATGAAGAAGGCCTATGACATCAAGGCGAATGCTGGAGGATTCGAAACCGGTGTCCTAGTTTGGCTGCACAACCCTAAGCGACGCAGTGGTTTATCACCGAAGTTGCGGAACTCGTTGAAAGGTCCGTACAAAATCATGAAGAAGAGAATTTACCTCGTCTACAGAATCCATAAGCCACCTCGAGGAAAGCCTAAGGTCGCGCATTTCAATAGATTGGCTTCCTATGATGGAAATCACGACCAAGTTCGCGCCCTCAGACCACCAGAGGATGAAATGACGTTCCAGAAGTTCATGTCTTTATACTCGAACGGACAGAAGGTCCGCACTAGCTCGCTGCGTGGCAGAATATCTCCAAATGTCCAGGGGTATCGCTGTGGTATTCAACAAGAAATTCGGTCACCTCCGAACATCACGAGAACAGAATCCTAAAGTCGGAGGAGTGCTACAGTTGAAGAAGGGTCAGAGAAACATTTTCTACTTGGTGACCAAAAAGCATTTTCTGGACAAACCGTCCTATGAAGATGTCTGGAGGAATCTTATCAGACTGAGGGACACGATGCTCGACCAGAATCTTGTGGACTTGGCAATTCCGAAATTAGCCTCTGGGCTCAACAGCCTGGATTGGGGAATCGTGAGAAGCATGTTGGAAACGACATTCAGATCCAGCGGCATCAAGATTTTGGTGTGCGGTAACCATCATCCACGACCGAGCATGAAGACCGTGGAGTGTTACTTCCATCGAACTTCACAATGCAGATATGGGGAGTCCTGCAGGTATCGACACACGTCAAGGATGACATTTTGGGGCGAAACGTCTTTGAGAAGGGGGCAATGTAACGAATCTGAAGCCGCCCCTGACCGATATGCCGGCCAGTGAACAAACACATGACATCACTGTGAAAGAATGCAGTCGGCAACCGTCGGTAAAACTCTAGAAACGAACCGACTACAGATTTCTAGAATGAACCGGTACACTATATAAGTCCGGCTTCCCGACCCAAGGGGGGTTCAGAAAGTGAATCGAGCGGTTAAACAAGGAATTCAAATAGTGGAAATAAATTAAGTGTTAGTTGCTAAGTGTTGTAAATAAATTAGTTTGTGATTAGTGAAATAGTATTGGGAATAAATTTGTTTAAGACATTTAATTCTTTAAATTGTTACACTATATATTGTATACATTTATATATTGACATGCAATAAATGTATTGATATATAACATGGTGAAAATATATCTATCTATAATACCAAATCAATATTCGTACTCACCGCTGTATTCTCCATCGTTACCGAGTTGATGTATGAAATTGGTGAATGCCAAGAAAATATTGAGAACTCTTTCGAAAATCGGGTAGAAGAAATCTCGATGTTTGTAAATAAGCATGTCGATGAATTTTCCGATTTCAATAAATTGAGAATAAATCGCTTTTATTCCTTCATCTCTTATGTTGTTGTGAAGACTGACAAATGATCTAATAATTGGCAGTTTCAATATATCTTTTATATGAGATAAGTTCACCCCTCCTTCCACTATTTTGTTGAACTGTATCAATATCCATATAACAACCTGCAGGGTACCATCTATTACTTTGTGGGTTCTGTCCTGAAGGAAACTGACAAAACCGTAACCAGTTTTTATTCCAAAAATGTTGAGACTTGTTATTTGATTTATGGTCCATCCAACAAATCCTAAAATTATAAAATATACATTTTTCAATAACTTAGTAGATAATTCAGTTCTATTTCGCAATATCAATTAAATCTTGAATATCTGGAGAGAACTGGGTCATGATTTCACTCTAGAACATGCCGTTTAGTCATTGACTCCGTTATATAGCTTTGGAATACCTTTGCTAAGTGAGGTGTCACCAGTGGAGGTAAAAGTCCAGCTGAAAGAAAGCCTTATCTAAAGTATGTGTATCTGTGCCGAAATAATGTAGGTACGACTGTGACCATCAAGCGCTCTCTGGTCGTAGAAAGCCATGTCAAGGTAATATAGGGCTCTGCCATGATAAACCTACTCGTGGGACCATTGTTAGTCAAGTTAGTAGTTGACTGATTTTCTAAGATTTGCATTTTATATTTTAATTAAAGTTGTTCACCGCTAACCTTGTGTCCAATCAAAAACCCAAAAATCCGACCAATGGTCTACAAAAAAATTGGACATACATGAAACAACCCCAACTGTCATCGGACCAAGAGCGAAAGCTCACCGGTTCTGATAACAAACCTAGAAGGCTGGGTGGCCAAACTTTAGCCACCGGTGTGTAGGCAGATTGAGACCCCGGTGTTACATACGCACGGAGTCAACAACAGGAGCCAACCGCACATTTGTGGTTCCAGTTAGAAGACCTAGAATTCCCAGGCTACATCTAACATGACCACGTAGGCAGCTATAGCTACCTACTTGAGATCCGGGTCCAGAATATAAATATAGAGAGAGATTTTATCGAGTGTGTATGATACATATCAAAAATGAAACAATTTGTGGACACAACACTCCAAAAAAGGGGGGTAAACCGCGGACACGTGTTTCTGGCTATTGGCCTCAGCAGCGCGGTGCAGCCAAGTGTAAAGATGGGCAACACTTGTTTGCCGAAGGCAGGAAACAACAAGAGGGTTGAGTTGATTGAACTGTATTATGGAAACAGATGTTGTGCTGCGAGAGCCGCTGAACTGTTTAATCAACAACATGGGAAGAATGTGCCGCGATAGTATGTTTACGATTTAATTGCAAAATTTCGCGCAACTGGATCTCTAGCAAATAAAAAATGGCGAATCGAACCACCAGTAACAAATGAGGCGACACAAGTGCAATTCTGGGCGATGTTGAGCTTGACCATACTTTGAGCACAAGAAAGTTAGCATTTATTTCCGGGGTGTCACGAACTAGCATTCGGCGTATTTTAAAAACCTACAAAATGCATCCTCATAAGATTAAATTAACGCATGAAGATGATTTCAATCGACACTTGCAATTTTGAGAGTTGGTTAGTGAACGAGCGGTGGAAAATCCACATTTTGTTTTCAACATTTGCTTGAGTGATGAATGTTTTTTTTTTTCTAAATGGCACAGTTAATCGCCATAATTGTCGCTATTGGGCTGATTCAAATCCTCACATTTTTCATGAAGTGCTTACTCAACGTCCACAAAAATTAAATGTATGGACTGGAATTTTTGGTGACCGTATTGTTGGCCCATTGTTTTTAGAAGGAAACTTAACCGGACAAATGTATCTGGAGCTTTCTATTCCTAGAAAGGAATCTATTAATCTATTCTTTATTATCCTTATTACTAATTATCCCCTTCTCACTGATATTATTGGAAATGACCAATATTATCAGGAGGATCTGTTAATATTTCAACAAGATGGGGCTCCTCCGCACAATGCTCTGCCTGTTCGGCAGTATTTAGATCAGACTTTTCCGGATCACTGGATTAAGAGACGGGACACTATCGAATGGCCACCACGATCACCAGACCTTCCGCCGTCAGATTTCTTTCTGTGGGGTCATTTGAAAAGCAGAATTTACTGTACTCCTCCTGCATCACTCGGAGATTTACAGCAACGAATCACAAGTGAATGTCGCCAAATCACTCCAGAAATGCTTCACAATGTTCGAGAATGTTTCCAGCAGAATCTTCATTATTGCATGGAAGCTGGAGGTGCCCATTTTGAGCATATGCTAACATGAGAATAAAGTGTCACTTCAACTCTAAATTTAAAATTGTTCGTTCAAATAAAAAAAAAATATACACCGTTGTTTAGAGAATTCTAGGATCTTTCAAACGATGTGCGACTCGCCCCCCAGTTCCCTATTAAAATTCCAAAGGTTGCCCTCTGCTCCGGGGTTGAAGTGACGACGCTGTAAATGGGGAAAAAACTGTCCCCTCTCAATGAAAATCGACCTGTCTGAGGGTTTTTTAGGATTTGTAAGATTAGTACTCAAAACCTCTATGTCAAATTTTCGATGGTCCACCCTGTATACGAAATACCATGTTTCGCCTGCTCCAGAACTCACATTGGCCAGACCAACAGAAGAGTACTTCAAAACCACTTCAATAATTGATGTCAAGTTTACTACTCGATATAGTATTTGATTAAAGAGTTTCAAGGTTCGCAAAATCAAAATAATTCAAAAACATAAAAGATAATATTAGAATAAGTTTATATTTCGTACAGTACCTTTTATTTTTCTGATAATGCCAGCGACCAAATCAGCATTAATCGAATGTATTTTCAAAATTACATTGGCTACTCTTGTAAATATTCCATTAAAAATATTTGCCACGAAACTGACCCCACCTCGGATTCCTGAATAGGGAACCTTCAATATCTTCTGAGTCAACGATAATACAACTCTTGTAGACGTTGTGGCGAAAGTTACAATTCTCTTGGGTATTTTGATAGGTAAATTAAGCAGAGTTTTCAGTATGGACTCAATACTAAATGAGCCGTGGAACGATGCAGATCCTCCTTTATCTGCTCCTCCTCCTGCAAAAGTAAAATTCCAGTCATTGATTATTTGCTTTCGACATTTTGTTTGCTTTCAGTTATACTTTTTATGTTTTCAATAAAGGATAATAGTGTTGTTTTCATCAATCGTTTACTTGTGATGATTCAACAGCAAATGATTAAGGTGTTCATTGACTGAAAACAGTGAGGGTTTTCAGGTCACGAATTTGACATGAATTTTGAAAAATTTCAGAGTAATTACCCAAATTATTTTTTATAAATTTTCATAAAAATATGAAGAAAAAACATTCTTATCTAATATCAAGTTCTCCTCTATATTAACAAATTATGAAAACAAAAATTGATTTGCTGTCATGAAATTGTAGGAGCTTTTTATCCTGTACAGTTTTTCAATAGGTCGACAAAACCTACCTTTACGAAAGTCATTTTTCGTAAAGTAATTCATTCGAATCAACTAAGTGTTCAAATTCTTGTGGATTACCTCCTTTAACCGGATATTTTAACGGATCAATAGTACCGTAGTGAACAATGCTATGAATTGACTGACAGAGAGGGGATAAAGAAGATAGTAAAATACACAAATCGTCTGAGTATTACCTCAAAGTGTTTCCAGTACAATAATGAGTATCTGCAACCTCTGAAGAGTCTAAAAACAGTTACCTTGAACAAACATATAGCGGACAATTATGTCTAAAAACTTCACACCTATATTCCATCTTGGCTCATCTATTGATTCCGGCCATAAGCACATATTTAACAAAGAAACGAATGACTGGCAAATGCTTCTAATGTTCAATCTATAATGCCGAAGATAATATATTTTGTATTGCGGACTGTATAAATGGAAACTAAATCAATGTGTACAAGAGCGAGAACAGTAACAGAATGAATCTCAAAATGATATTACTTCACTTCCTAAATCTACCAAACTTTCTTAATTCCCTGTCCTAAAATATGGTCAAGGGACCCTTCTCGAGTAGTTAATTTAATCGAATGCATCGAATACCTATAAACCAAAATGAGATAAGATGTTTATTTCAAACATGATATTTTCGTTCTTTACATGGTACAGGGTGATTCCTCAACACGAATAATATTACAAAGCGCGAGTACCTATTCAAATAACAACTCAACATTTACAATTAGCGAAAAAACAGTATCATGAATTAACAAATACTATATCTGGAGAATCATGGGATCAATTGAGCAGCCTAAGATCTCCGGAGATGCCCTTTTTTCCCTTCTATATTAGAGGGTAGGATTCAGATCTGAAGAACGTACTTTTCGCCGAATCTACCTAGCGCTCGAAGATAGAGGATGACACTTATTAATATATGTTTCCTTAAATTGTATTATAGAAAATCTACATTCATAATATTTTGTGGTGGAATGAATTTTTATCATAATGTATTTTTCTCACCTATTCCTCCGTATCCATTGCCAGAATCTGAAAAATCACCATATACATTTTGACTGTATTTTCCTCCTCCATTGCCTTTATGGCCATGCCCGAATAATCCCCCGATAAAATTACTCAAATGTTTTCTTCCTTGGCTCACTTCTCCTGTTATTCCTCTTATTAAATGACCTAATCCCCCTCCAATATGAACTGAACCTGTCACACCTGAATTTCCGAAGTGCCCTCCGAACTCTGCTTTACCCTGTCCATATGCTGAAATGAAGAATAATTTTGTAATTTACTGAATAAAATGAAGAGAAATAACATGTTTTGCTAGGCTCCTTTTATAAAATCGATATTCATTGGGATCGACAGAAAACTCAAACCTCACTGATCAAACATACGGAGGGTCCCAACGGTAGTTGATTGCAAACCACAAAAGATAAATCGTGTTCGATCGCTTTCTATATCTAGAGATCTCCTCGTTTATCTCTGATGAACGGCGGTTGAGTGAATGGAAATATGACCGATTAACGCTTTCGAGCGTTGGTAGCACTTTGAGCAACAATTTAACAACAATTTAAGATAGTTTTAGCTGAACTCGTGAAGATCTAAAAAATGTCTATGATTTACTAACGATAGTGAGTGGTGAAGATGTAAAAAGTGTTTAATTCAACAAGCTGCGCGAGGGCCGCATTTTGAAGTTTCTCACCGAGGATGAATTGTAGTTACTCGAAATTTCACTGCATCATTGTCATGCAAAACCCGACATAGTTCATACAGTAGAAGACATCTTGAAAGCTAGCAGTATGGCAATTGTTGACATCTCTCTGTTCAGTCCATATTTGTCTCTTTGCGATTTCTGGCTGTTTCTGGGAAAGTGCATAGCATGGACACAACCCTTAACTAAGTTTAAGTGTCAACGTAAACTTTTCTAAGTGATATATAATGAAATTGGCCGATACTTGATGAAAATTCATAACGTATTCAATAGCTCAGGCGTGTTCATACAAGAACGCCCCTGAGAAAGCTCTTGTATAGCGAAACACGTGTTGCGATTTTGTAAACTGTCCAATGAAAAACTCACAACAAAGTTTTTTTTTTTATTTAGATTTCAAACCGCATCAACCACATAGGGTTATTAGCGGCGGTACATATGACATACAGTTCATATCGGTATACATTAAATTGAATTAAATATATGGATTCGTTTGACATATTTTATTACATTATTCCATTCTCTATTAAGAATGGTGGATATGTCTCCGGTTAGCTTCAATTCGTTTATCTCTTGTTGGTGCTGTTGACATGTGAATAGGTGTTCCACTGTTAGGTCCATGTTGCAATTTTCACATTTACGTCTAGCTTCCTTTTTTAGTAAATGTTGGTGAGTGAGACGAGTGTGTCCAATTCTTAGGCTACTTATGGTTATTTGATTTTTTCGACTAAGGGCAGCATAATTTTTTATTTCCATGTTGGGATTTATTTTGTACAGTTTATTGGTAGTTGAAGATTGACATTTCTGCTTCCAGATTTCTTATTTCCTGGTATCCCTATGTGTGAAGGTATCCAGTTTATTTCGACTATTTTTCCTTCTTGGTGAAGTTTGAAAAGCTCAATCTTAATTTGTTGTAGAAGAGGATGTTTAGGATATAATTGGCGGATTCCCTCTATTGCACTCAATGAATCTGTGAATATTACAGAGTTTTCATTTACTTGTCTCGCATGTATAATTGTCTGTGCGATGGCATAAACCTCTCCAGTGTAAATACTGCCGACGCTAGGTAGTTTGTAACTTTTACTCTCATGTTTGCTGAATACGGCAGCTCCCACACCTTTTTCTGTTTTAGAAGCATCGGTATAGATGTAATTGAAGTTAGAGAACTTAGAAGAAATGGCCTGGAATGATTTTCGGATCAGTGCAGCAGGAGTTTCATCTTTCAGGAATATTAGCAGTTCTGTGTTACAGGGTGGAATATCGATTAACCAAGGAGGAAGAGTATTTAAGGAAATGGGATAGGTAGATGAGAGGTTGATAGTGACAGGTATTCTGCGGATGCGGGTATGTATGGGCGGCATAATGTTAGTCTTTTGTTGGTATATTTCATTTATATGCATGTGATAGTAGAAATGAAATAAAAGATAATTAAAGTGGCAAATTTTGAAATCAATATGTTTATCGTTTCCGCATATCACGTTACGCTAGCTCTACTGTCAAGGAATTTTCTTGAAAGAATAACATCTTATATTTGATCATAACAAATGCTGGCATACTATTTACAAATATAGCAACACTGCCGTTTTAAATTTTGCAGAACAATCAACTCAAACGGTTTCTTCGTGCAGGCTAATATTCAACTATTCAAACTGTTTTCATAATAATATAAACTTTGAAAACATCAGCGAACAGGAAATCTTGATTGCGGCACGTGAAATAAAAAAGTTCACTTCTGGTCCAGATAAGATACCGTCCTTTTTTGTGAAAGATTGAATCGGTGTATTGGTCTATCCCTTACTGACACTTTTCAATCTTGCAGTTGAAAATAATAATTTTCATAAATTATGGAAGATAAGAGTTTGTCCCACTTTTCAGTTTGGAGATCCATCTGATATTCGGAATTACCGTCCTATCTCAATCCTATTGAACTTTGCAAAACTTCTCGAAATTATCATCTACAATCGTGTACATTCCTCAGTTCGTAATATCATATCTCCACAACAACATGGATTTATGTCAAACAGATCCACCATAACAAATTTAATTGTATTGACCCAAAATGTTAGTGATGTCTTAGATAATCGTGGTGAAGCTGATGTGATATATACTGATTTTGCTAAAGCATTTGATCGACTTGATCACATGATCCTTTTACAAAAACTCCACCAATTTGGTTTCCATAATTCAGCAGTACTTTTCGTTAAATCCTACTTACTTCAACGCGAACAGTTTGTATCTCAGGGTACCTCAGGGGTCTGTTCTTATCATTTATTAATGACCTCAGTAATCATGACGATTGCAGATGATTTGAAAATATATTCACCTGTCGAAACTATCGAAGACTGTAATACATTGCAACGACAGTTAGAAAATATACAGACTTGGTGTGAAGTAAACAAACTATATCTCAATGCATCTAAATGTAAAGTAGTGTCTTATAGTAGGAAAATGTCAGTCATCGAGTACAATTATCGAGTAGATACCATTTCACTGTCACGAAGTAACTCAATTAAAGATCTTGGTGTATATTTTGATCAAAATTTGTCTTTTTCCAACCACATTAGATTGAAAGTGAGTGAAGCATTGAGAGTTTATGGGTTCATAGTTCGCAATTGTAGATCTTTTTCAAACATGTCTGCTCTATTTATTCTTTATGTAGCCTACGTAGGGTCAAAATTAGAATATGGCTCTGTTCTATGGCCTCCATTCTACAATTTCTATAATACATTAATTGAAAAAGTTCAACGTCGTTTCCTAAAATTTATTTACTTCAAATCTTATGGTATCTATCGTAATAGAGGTATTACATATGAATCTCTTACCATAACATTCAATATTGAAAGTCTTGAATTACACAGAAAACTTGCTGGAATAATTTTTCTGTATAAATTACTGCATAAAAATGTGGATACTATGGAAGTGTTATCTTTTATAAATTTCTGTGTGCCTCATTTTAGAACTAAAAGAACAAAAACTTTTTACAGACCACTGACCAGAACCAATTTGTATCTCAAGTCACCAATCTTCAGTATTTGCAATAATTTCAATTTAATTTCAAATTTGTGTGATATCAATTTTGTTTCCCTAGAATATATTGTTGACACTGCATCTCAATATTTCATCGAGAATTTTTAATTTTCTCAAATTGTAACTTTGTAATTATAAGGATCGATATTATTTTTTAACATACTTTGACCCCGTAAAGTTGACCCCGTAAATGGTTTTTACCTGTTGGGTAATAAAAGCTATTATTATTATTATTATTATTAAAAATTATGATGGTTATCGGATTAGATTCACATAACCACACTAGTGACTACTAGATATTTGGCATAAATATTTTGAATATTTTTTCTGAAATCTTCGTCAGTAAATTACGAATGTGTAATAACATTATTTTCACTTTTTGACCAACTAGTGTATAAATCCAGTATAATAATAAAGTTTGAATGGATGGATATTAATATCTAAATAAAAAGCGGTTTCTCACTTAAAAATATATCTAGCATGTGTTTGCGTTCTTGAAAAGGAATGAAACTGTTTTACCTGAGTTCTGGAATAAGCATATGCTGACGAGAAAGAAACATCCAACTTTGATCATGTTGAAAACATGAAGACCAGTGAACATTGGTTCGAATACTTTATTTGAATATTTACTCAAATGCAGTTCTTGACGTTCGTTGTGGCTAGATAAGCACTACTTAAAATATAATAACTACCAATCATTAGAAATAAATATCGAATGCTGATAGCTAATTGGTGATAGCTGTACTTAATAGACTGATATGCGGTAAAAAATAATGAAAATTGTTTGAAAAATATCACCTAGTTACAGTTTATTTCAATATTTCTACCCATAATTAGAGGTAAAAATTGGAAAAATTATATCGATATTTTTTTGTTGAAAAATGATCATAATATGAAAATATTTTATGGAAAATTTGAACTATATATATGAAGTAACAAATTCGCATTAAGTTTTATTTCTGAATAAAAACCAATTTGTATCGAGGTTTCGAAAATATGTACTTTCATCACCATGACATTAAAAAGACATGTTATCAGGTTGCAATTACACAAAGTAAAGACGAATTAAAAATGTTTTTACAGTGTTACTACTTTCAATGTGATAGTTCAGGCCAATCTCTCCATTAGACAACAGCTTCCTAGCCCGGATGACCAGACTTGTAGCTAATCTTCGAAAAAATTCTGTACTCGGTTGTTATAATTTCTCATACCTATTTTGTGCATTAACTTTATATTATGTTCAATGTACAATTATTACTCGTCTTTTGGTTTCTCAGTTGTGTTTCTAACCATTGATTATGAGTTCAACAATCGGAAAATAAGCAAAATACCCACTGCTTAATAGGAATGTACTATATGACAATTCGAACAAGTTTTATATATTTTCGACAGATCATAACAATGAATCAATAATAGTATTTTAGTCCAAGATCATACATTGTTAATGTCAACTTCTCGGGTAACACTTTTTGAAATCGGTTACATTTTTTGTTAAAGAGACTACCACGGATTATTTATTTCTATATGATATGATGATAGTATTACATCTGTCTGTCTGTTTAAAACTCTGTTTTTCCATTAACCAGCTGTCGCAACCCTACGAACGACAACCCTCAGAAGTCTAAACTTGTGCGAGCTAAGGATTAATGAGGTCTTACCTTTTAACGTGTGATTCCTAACACGTTCCTAACATAAAAATAATAATGAAGGCAATATTCAAGAAAAGTCGAAATATGTAAATGTTGTTTTTTTTTAATAATGAAATACAAAACATTAATTTTCATATAATTTTTTGGGGAAAAGTGATATTATTATTTATTGTGTAGACGTTTTGTTGCCACATATTTTTAAGTCATAAATATTGAATACGGATCTGACTTTTTACAACATAATGAATCTTCATAACCCCTAAAAGCGGCCTAATCGATTATGTTTAGATGAAAAGATGAATGGTACCTGTGCCTTTTCAGGTATCCTTAACGGAGCCTTGGATACCAGGAGTCTTCCAGAGTATCCATCCACTCAGGGGACATCATGGATGTGGATAACTTTATCCTCCATACTCTTGGGAACTTGATGGAACAATAAGAATTTCAAAACAAATAAAAATAAGAACGAATTTTCGAGCAACTCCTATTAAAACTGGAGTCGCACGTGTATTAGGAAAGTTAAAACTAAACGGCGAGTGATGTCAAGAGTAATCACAGGACTGGCGGAATTCAGCTGTAACAGAAATTTTCTGCGAGAGTGACTGAAAAGCTACTGTGGGAGAGTCAAAATGGAGACTCAAAGAGAATAGGAAAACTCCCTCACAGGCAAAATTAAAAAAACAAGGGTTCTCGAGAACAGACTGGGCGGTATTGATATGCGCCATCCAGAAGTCACTCTGAATCAAGAACAAGCTGACCTGATACTGGATACACTGCACTGCACTCAAGCAGCTTCACAAATCTACAGTCCACAAAAACTTCATTCAGCGCTGAAATCTTATGGTTGACCTATGCTGATGAAGAAACAAATGGATCTTAGGAGGAGGCAAACTTGACCGTGTTCGATGCCAAAGAAGAAGACCGAGCGACCTTGTCTTATTACCATGCCAAAAAGATGGAGAGGAGCGGGAACCGTTACGACACGTACCAGTAAAAATACCCTGTCCTAGGAAGGTAGACGTGGATTCTCATCAGCCAAAAAAAGGAAGAGGAAGGTCAAATCCTATCTTATTTTCTCTTGAAAACATATCCTTCAAGGCCTTGGAGGGGAAAATGTTCAAAACCTACTTAATTAATAACACAATATCTGCGACCCCAAGAACATGCATACTCATCCATAAAGGAATTAACATATTACCTGCGGAAATAATTTGAACATCACCGGAACCACCATCAACCAGGAAAGTGGAAGAGTTAGTGACTTCATGAGCAGATGGATTGTAGCCCATTGTCTGCGGTGACATACACATCATCTCATTTGGTGATGCAACACCAACTGAAGAGTTACTACATTTCATTATGGCAACTAATATAATAATTTTAAACGAAGGAAATATACCACCTATCTTCGTGAACACAAGACGTATGGAGATAATAGTCGTGAAAATAGGTGCTTCACTTATAAGTAACTATATTCGGAAATGCAATGTGTCTGATAAGGAAAGTTGTTCAGATCACCGGCACATACAGTTTTTAATCGAATTGGATGCCTCACACTTCGATCATATCTTATAAAAATGCTCGGAAAAGTAACAGGGGAGCCTACAACCTGGACAGTTGTTTGGACCGGATAGTTGAAAAAATTTAAAACCTACAGTTGGCAGCAGACTACGTAAATTGCACACTATCAACTCGATTTTCAGGACCACGGCGGGTGCAGGAAAATAAAATCATCTAGTGTGGGGATGCATGCAACAAGTCCTGAATAATATAATAACATTAGCCTAGAAAGAAGGCTAACCATAAACCCAACAAAATCGACCATAGTAGCATTCACAGAGATGACTAAGAAAGGGGCCTAATAGGAACCTTGAAACTTTGAAGTGCAGAGATTCATCCGTCGGGAAAGGTTAGATATCTGAGAATAATACTAGATCCCAGGCTGACCCCGAACCAGAAAAAGTTAAAAGGAAGGCAGCGATCCTAGCCAGACGCATTTAGGGAAACTCATGGTGGTGGTGATAACCATGATAACATGTGCATTATGATCTGGTATTCTGGTCTAAATAGGAAAAAGCTGACCAGTCAAAAAGCAAGGGACCTGTTGAAATTACCATATGTAATGGTAAAAACAAAGTATCAGACACTACCATAGCCAAAAATTGAGATATTGGTTAGTTAATACTGATCAGTATGTTTGGATTTTATGAATTTCAAAATGAAATAAAATGATTAACATAAGTATGTTGCTCCGAATATTGAATTAATTCGACAAGCAGCCTTTTTCAATTCAGGATACTTCAATTCTGGTACAAATTTCAAAAATTT